CTGCCAAAAGAATTGTGCCAAAGGTATATCTTATCAGTATCTGTCGATATTTCTGAGATGAGGTATTATGTACACTATTTACATTATTCGGACTGATAACTGACGTCCATTAGATATGGCACGTGGAACTAGAACAGTCTATCCTAGCGAGCGAAATAAAGGGTTCAGTTCGACTTTCCAACCACCCGAAGAAGACCGGAGCGTACAACGGCCGAAATGTAGGATAGATATGACAACAAAGATGAGGACAATAGTCCGAATAATGTAAATAGTGTGCATATCTTATGTCGTTGAGGTTGTGTCCCTCAATAATAAATTCCGATAGAACTTCTTCTAAAATCGCCCCACTGTATAAATTAAAGAAATCTGATGAGAAGATGCATCATTGTCTTACGCTCCTTTCTATTTTTTTTATTCTTTGTACTAGTTCAATTCATTTTCTATTCATACGTAGGAGGTTTGTTCCCAGTAAATGTTCTAGATTATTCTAATATTTTTCACAAATAAATCAAATTTTCCTAACAGTTCAAATAGATCCTTGTTCCGTGCCTTCTCAAATACTTTTGCATAGTCTACCTAATATAGTCATACACTATTCTGCATTAGTATTGCGCGCTTTGATATCATTCTGATCATGAACATCGCATTTCTTTTTCAAGTAACTTTAACAAAGCTACACTGTTCTTGTCCTATTTCCCATCTAATTCTGCTAGGCGCTCTATTCATCAGAATCAGAATGATAATTTTAGTCATGTGCTTAATTAAGTTGATAGTCCGATCGAGCTCGCATTCGATACCGAACTTGACTCAGGCTGATAGCATTTCTATTACAATCCAATCTGATCCTGTTGATTTGTTCCTGTTCATCTTGGCCAATATCGATCTTATCTCAGGCTTGGCCAGTATAGATCTTATCGTGGATTTGGCTAGTATCGATCTTACCTCAGTGCATTATGTCTTTTGTATACAATCGCTTTCTCAGATCAGTGGTTAAAATGGCTTTGAACGAATTAATCCCGTAGGTCTTAGTGACGACCCTCCTTTTTCGAACCCTGTGAACTGTTGCTACCGAATAACAAAGAACTGTACCAGATAACAGAATCACTTGACGACTTCCAACAGCAGCAACAACTAAAGTGGATAGAACATGTAACTCGAAGAGAAAATAATGACATAATCAAGATGTTGACGTTCCACACGACCAAACAAAAGGTTAGGAAGGAAACCCCCATCAATACTGGAAAAAGCAATTTCTAGACTTGCGAAACCTATTTTCTTGAAAATTGTTTTAATAAAAAAAATTAAAATTCCAATCGAGAGTAACCATGAGTGCTCGGTCAATGAATGTTGAGTGAATTTCGAATGTTTCCTTACAAGGAAACAGCTAATATTAAAATTACCTTTTTATGTATTGCCTATTTCCCTCTTTCGTTGTGAAAGAATTCACAATATATTTGTTCCATATTTGATTTATTGTTTCTTTCTCCGTTATAAGAATTACCGATTTAGATTTTATACATCCTGTCAAAGTGCATGTTTCTTGCCCTGTTATTTTATTTATTTGTG